ACGTACATTCATTTTGCCCCCAAAAAAGTCGATGCCCCGCCTCCCCACTCCCTCCACACGCGTCGTTTCAACCAGACAGCCATTTGTAATCCATAGGGGGGCGGGGGGTCGCAGAAAATGTTTGGAAACCACTGGGGGGGCGCAGAAGAAAAAGTTTGGGAACCACTGCATTAAAGGTTTTACGTGGTAACAAAAATATATACATATATTTTTGGATGATATCTCTGGCTATAAAATCAGAAATAGCAAAAGTAAAAGCCGTCATTGTGTGGAAACTAAAGTCATCAGGCTAATCGTGGTAAACACTGGCCTGTCTGACGAGCATCCAGCTGCAGGCCGGCTCAACTTAATTACCCAGTTGATATCAGTTTGACTTGCTAAAAAATGACAATATGTGCAATCAGCACTTCAACCCTGGCACTAAATATAACAGTTTTATTCCAACTTTTTGCTTTAGTCTATATTAAAATACCATAACTGGATTTTTTATTTCTTTTACATTAACATTGTGAAAACCATAATATTCAAGTGTTAAAGTTCAATACCTCATATTATATTTCAATACCTGAAACTGGTTGAGTGGGGAAGGATACAATTTCAACAATTTAAATTAAAACCATCAATTGAGATTAATTTTCACCATTTTCTCCTCTCCTCTGAAAGTGGGATGTATGTTAAAAAAATACTTGATAAGATTTAGTGTATCTAATTTCTAGTGCAAATATGGTAGTACCTTTGAAAAACTTACAAGTAACTTTTCAGCAAAAAAAAAAAAGAAAAAGGATGCTTTAAGCCGATAATTCTTTAATATTGACGAAAACGTACTAGCTATAAGTGGGACAAGACATTTTACACATGTAAGCTAAAATGTCCTGTTCCACTGGCAGATTATTTCACTTGTAACTAGTACTTTTTCCATTAATATTAAATTATTGACTTAAAAGAAGCTCCTATATCGTGCTGAAAAGTTATTCGTAAGTTAGTTTCAACTTATTTCAAGTGAACTAGAAACTAGACCAGAAATGCTTCCTAAGATCAAGTGTAGAAAACATTTTGTTCCTTACTGTTTCCATTACTGTTGCAAGTGATGGATCCCTAATGAGTACGTCTAAATCAACAGGAAGACTTCCTTTAACCAAAAAAAAAAAAAAAACGACAAAAGGAAGAGAAGACAGAGGTTGAGGAAAACGAGAAAAATCAAAAATAACGCGTTCAAATCATCTGGAAGAAAACAAATCTTTGGTCCCGTCACCTAGGACTGAACTCATGAGGCTGGGTAACGCGTGCTTGGCAATACGACAGTTGCAGTTTTGCTCTCAAGTAGGCAGACGGAGAAAGGACAAACAAAGCAAAGGCCATGTGCAGCAGGGCAGAACGACACAGAAGAAAAAAAAAACAGCTTATCTGCTTTCCGTTAGACGAGAAGGTTGCAGACGAATCTCAACAGGATTTGGCTTCAGTGCACTCCTTCGAAGACAGAAGCAAGGTGGGCGACTCTTTGAGCAACAAAACAGGTGAGGAAACCTACTTCCTTGAGCCACGTGTGGTTGAAAGGAAAAAGGAAAAAAAAAAAAAAAAAAAAAAAAAGGGTTGCCCGGGGAGGGGGGGTTTTTTTTGTGGGGAGCCACCCCTTTTTAA